ACTGCATCTTACCTGCACGTCAGGGATTGACCGCAGTGCATCACAGAACTGCTGCCTACTGGTGACGGTCTGCTCTTCTTCCACGCAACCAGACCAGTCCAACCCCGTACCTGTTAACAAAGATTTCCACAGGTCAAACCCCAACCAACACTCCCACAACAAGGAAGAAGTAACAAAAGTCCTTAGAATTCAAGGTGTACACCGATTGCGCATTCTCTTACCTTCAATGCTGGAGTTGGCTGCAGTACGTCCCTGAACTCTTTGCACTTCTCCTGGCAGGCTGCAGTCCACAATTCATCTAGGAATCCACAACAGCCTAACCCTGACCTGTTAACTCCAAAGGTGGAGTAGCATAAAAAGTGTGCTAAGACTAAAGAGTCAAAATGAAGAAAGTTCACAGAGTGCAAGGCCTGCACAAAGTATCTTACCGTCTTCGGGTTGGCAGACTCCTCTTCAAAGGTCTGGGAATAGAGGGCTGCATCATACCGCATATCTACAGTAGAAAGACAAGGCATCAAGAGAGATTACAGTCTTCATCAAGTCAGATGAGGAAAATATAAATCAACACAGTAAATTCAGCTTGGACATGAATCTTACCCTCTCTTCCTTGTGCGGTCGCAGTCGATCCTTGCTCCCGAGAATGCTGCTGTACGTCTCGCTGGGATCGACGCTCCTGAAAACACAGAAAAACAGGAGGTCAAAAAGATGAATCCTAGCTGCTCTCATCAAGTTATAATGCGAAACAGGGATCCAGCAGAGCTACAAAAGCAGCCCGTTACTCACCGTCTTGGCCAATGTGGGCCTCTGGACAAAACTGGGCAATGGGCTCCTTCCTCTTCATCTGTGGCTGGCTGGAGGCAGGCTGGCTGGGTGCTCCCGCGTTGTACCACGTCCGAGTGCCTGAAAATACACAACTGAGACGAGATTAGTAAAAATTCAAAACAATGAAACAAAGCACAGAAATTTAATGAAATTACAAAGAAAGATATGTTAAGGGGTAGGGGATGGTTAGTTGTGTTAGATAAGGGAAGTGCTCAGAAGACAGAGAAGAGACAGAAGGAAAGAAATAAATTCAAAATGCTTCTCTGTTAGGCTTCCTGGTAGCGGAATTGGATCATCTGTGGGGATGGGTTTGGATGCGCTGGATCCTCTGCTATCTTGGGCTGCAACGGGCTGGGCTGGGCTGGGCTCGGTTGGGCTCTGTTGCTTGCTGCGCATCCTGTCAATTGGAAGTCAAGAGGTCAAATGCTGACATGGTCAACATCATTTGGCAAAGTAAAGATCATGAAAGGCTGCATGATGTGCAGTGACAATATCTTACCTCCTCTTCTCTTCTTGACTGCTGTTGGAATCCTTCCAGGTCAGCAAACACCTCCTCATCTGCTAACAAAGCAGAATCAAGACATCAAAACAACTTCCTAGAGTTAACAAACTTTCAGCGAGAGCAAAGAGCAAAGTTAAGATATCATTTACATGAAACACAAACATGCAGTAATGAAATGGGACATACTACAAGGTTTGCATACTGCATCTTACCTGCACGTCAGGGATTGACCGCAGTGCATCACAGAACTGCTGCCTACTGGTGACGGTCTGCTCTTCTTCCACGCAACCAGACCAGTCCAACCCCGTACCTGTTAACAAAGATTTCCACAGGTCAAACCCCAACCAACACTCCCACAACAAGGAAGAAGTAACAAAAGTCCTTAGAATTCAAGGTGTACACCGATTGCGCATTCTCTTACCTTCAATGCTGGAGTTGGCTGCAGTACGTCCCTGAACTCTTTGCACTTCTCCTGGCAGGCTGCAGTCCACAATTCATCCAGGAATCCACAACAGCCTAACCCTGACCTGTTAACTCCAAAGGTGGAGTAGCATAAAAAGTGTGCTAAGACTAAAGAGTCAAAATGAAGAAAGTTCACAGAGTGCAAGGCCTGCACAAAGTATCTTACCGTCTTCGGGTTGGCAGACTCCTCTTCAAAGGTCTGGGAATAGAGGGCTGCATCATACCGCATATCTACAGTAGAAAGACAAGGCATCAAGAGAGATTACAGTCTTCATCAAGTCAGATGAGGAAAATATAAATCAACACAGTAAATTCAGCTTGGACATGAATCTTACCCTCTCTTCCTTGTGCGGTCGCAGTCGATCCTTGCTCCCGAGAATGCTGCTGTACGTCTCGCTGGGATCGACGCTCCTGAAAACACAGAAAAACAGGAGGTCAAAAAGATGAATCCTAGCTGCTCTCATCAAGTTATAATGCGAAACAGGGATCCAGCAGAGCTACAAAAGCAGCCCGTTACTCACCGTCTTGGCCAATGTGGGCCTCTGGACAAAACTGGGCAATGGGCTCCTTCCTCTTCATCTGTGGCTGGCTGGAGGCAGGCTGGCTGGGTGCTCCCGCGTTGTACCACGTCCGAGTGCCTGAAAATACACAACTGAGACGAGATTAGTAAAAATTCAAAACAATGAAACAAAGCACAGAAATTTAATGAAATTACAAAGAAAGATATGTTAAGGGGTAGGGGATGGTTAGTTGTGTTAGATAAGGGAAGTGCTCAGAAGACAGAGAAGAGACAGAAGGAAAGAAATAAATTCAAAATGCTTCTCTGTTAGGCTTCCTGGTAGCGGAATTGGATCATCTGTGGGGATGGGTTTGGATGCGCTGGATCCTCTGCTATCTTGGGCTGCAACGGGCTGGGCTGGGCTGGGCTCGGTTGGGCTCTGTTGCTTGCTGCGCATCCTGTCAATTGGAAGTCAAGAGGTCAAATGCTGACATGGTCAACATCATTTGGCAAAGTAAAGATCATGAAAGGCTGCATGATGTGCAGTGACAATATCTTACCTCCTCTTCTCTTCTTGACTGCTGTTGGAATCCTTCCAGGTCAGCAAACACCTCCTCATCTGCTAACAAAGCAGAATCAAGACATCAAAACAACTTCCTAGAGTTAACAAACTTTCAGCGAGAGCAAAGAGCAAAGTTAAGATATCATTTACATGAAACACAAACATGCAGTAATGAAATGGGACATACTACAAGGTTTGCATACTGCATCTTACCTGCACGTCAGGGATTGACCGCAGTGCATCACAGAACTGCTGCCTACTGGTGACGGTCTGCTCTTCTTCCACGCAACCAGACCAGTCCAACCCCGTACCTGTTAACAAAGATTTCCACAGGTCAAACCCCAACCAACACTCCCACAACAAGGAAGAAGTAAAAAAAGTCCACAGAATTCAAGGTGTACACCGATTGTGCATTCTCTTACCTTCAATGCTGGAGTTGGCTGCAGTACGTCCCTGAACTCTTTGCACTTCTCCTGGCAGGCTGCAGTCCACAATTCATCTAGGAATCCACAACAGCCTAACCCTGACCTGTTAACACCAAAGGTGGAGTAGCATAAAAAGTGTGCTAAGACTAAAGAGTCAAAATGAAGAAAGTTCACAGAGTGCAAGGCCTGCACAAAGTATCTTACCGTCTTCGGGTTGGCAGACTCCTCTTCAAAGGTCTGGGAATAGAGGGCTGCATCATACCGCATATCTACAGTAGAAAGACAAGGCATCAAGAGAGATTACAGTCTTCATCAAGTCAGATGAGGAAAATATAAATCAACACAGTAAATTCAGCTTGGACATGAATCTTACCCTCTCTTCCTTGTGCGGTCGCAGTCGATCCTTGCTCCCGAGAATGCTGCTGTACGTCTCGCTGGGATCGACGCTCCTGAAAACACAGAAAAACAGGAGGTCAAAAAGATGAATCCTAGCTGCTCTCATCAAGTTATAATGCGAAACAGGGATCCAGCAGAGCTACAAAAGCAGCCCGTTACTCACCGTCTTGGCCAATGTGGGCCTCTGGACAAAACTGGGCAATGGGCTCCTTCCTCTTCATCTGTGGCTGGCTGGAGGCAGGCTGGCTGGGTGCTCCCGCGTTGTACCACGTCCGAGTGCCTGAAAATACACAACTGAGACGAGATTAGTAAAAATTCAAAACAATGAAACAAAGCACAGAAATTTAATGAAATTACAAAGAAAGATATGTTAAGGGGTAGGGGATGGTTAGTTGTGTTAGATAAGGGAAGTGCTCAGAAGACAGAGAAGAGACAGAAGGAAAGAAATAAATTCAAAATGCTTCTCTGTTAGGCTTCCTGGTAGCGGAATTGGATCATCTGTGGGGATGGGTTTGGATGCGCTGGATCCTCTGCTATCTTGGGCTGCAAAGGGCTGGGCTGGGCTGGGCTGGGCTCGGTTGGGCTCTGTTGCTTGCTGCGCATCCTGTCAATTGGAAGTCAAGAGGTCAAATGCTGACATGGTCAACATCATTTGGCAAAGTAAAGATCATGAAAGGCTGCATGATGTGCAGTGACAATATCTTACCTCCTCTTCTCTTCTTGACTGCTGTTGGAATCCTTCCAGGTCAGCAAACACCTCCTCATCTGCTAACAAAGCAGAATCAAGACATCAAAACAACTTCCTAGAGTTAACAAACTTTCAGCGAGAGCAAAGAGCAAAGTTAAGATATCATTTACATGAAACACAAACATGCAGTAATGAAATGGGACATACTACAAGGTTTGCATACTGCATCTTACCTGCACGTCAGGGATTGACCGCAGTGCATCACAGAACTGCTGCCTACTGGTGACGGTCTGCTCTTCTTCCACGCAACCAGACCAGTCCAACCCCGTACCTGTTAACAAAGATTTCCACAGGTCAAACCCCAACCAACACTCCCACAACAAGGAAGAAGTAAAAAAAGTCCACAGAATTCAAGGTGTACACCGATTGTGCATTCTCTTACCTTCAATGCTGGAGTTGGCTGCAGTACGTCCCTGAACTCTTTGCACTTCTCCTGGCAGGCTGCAGTCCACAATTCATCTAGGAATCCACAACAGCCTAACCCTGACCTGTTAACACCAAAGGTGGAGTAGCATAAAAAGTGTGCTAAGACTAAAGAGTCAAAATGAAGAAAGTTCACAGAGTGCAAGGCCTGCACAAAGTATCTTACCGTCCCTAGGTTGGCAGACTCCTCTTCAGAGGACTGGGAATAGAGGGCTGCATCATACCGCATATCTACAGTAGAAAGACAAGGCATCAAGAGAGATTACAGTCTTCATCAAGTCAGATGAGGAAAATATAAATCAACACAGTAAATTCAGCTTGGACATGAATCTTACCCTCTCTTCCTTGTGCGGTCGCAGTCGATCCTTGCTCCCGAGAATGCTGCTGTACGTCTCGCTGGGATCGACGCTCCTGAAAACACAGAAAAACAGGAGGTCAAAAAGATGAATCCTAGCTGCTCTCATCAAGTTATAATGCGAAACAGGGATCCAGCAGAGCTACAAAAGCAGCCCGTTACTCACCGCCTTGGCCAATGTGGGCCTCTGGACAAAACTGGGCAATGGGCTCCTTCCTCTTCATCTGTGGCTGGCTGGAGGCAGGCTGGCTGGGTGCTCCCGCGTTGTACCACGTCCGAGTGCCTGAAAATACACAACTGAGACGAGATTAGTAAAAATTCAAAACAATGAAACAAAGCACAGAAATTTAATGAAATTACAAAGAAAGATATGTTAAGGGGTAGGGGATGGTTAGTTGTGTTAGATAAGGGAAGTGCTCAGAAGACAGAGAAGAGACAGAAGGAAAGAAATAAATTCAAAATGCTTCTCTGTTAGGCTTCCTGGTAGCGGAATTGGATCATCTGTGGGGATGGGTTTGGATGCGCTGGATCCTCTGCTATCTTGGGCTGCAAAGGGCTGGGCTGGGCTGGGCTGGGCTCGGGTGGGCTCTGTTGCTTGCTGCGCATCCTGTCAATTGGAAGTCAAGAGGTCAAATGCTGACATGGTCAACATCATTTGGCAAAGTAAAGATCATGAAAGGCTGCATGATGTGCAGTGACAATATCTTACCTCCTCTTCTCTTCTTGACTGCTGTTGGAACCCTTCCAGGTCAGCAAACACCTCCTCATCTGCTAACAAAGCATAATCAAGAAATCAAAACAACTTCCTAGAGTTAACAAAATTTCAGCGAGAGCAAAGAGCAAAGTTAAGATATCATTTACATGAAACACAAACACACAGTAATGAAATGGGACACACTACAAGGTTGTGCATACTGCATCTTACCTGCACGTCAGGGATTGACCGCAGTGCATCACAGAACTGCTGCCTACTGGTGACGGTCTGCTCTTCTTCCACGCAACCAGACCAGTCCAACCCCGTACCTGTTAACAAAGATTTCCACAGGTCAAACCCCAACCAACACTCCCACAACAAGGAAGAAGTAAAAAAAGTCCACAGAATTCAAGGTGTACACCGATTGTGCATTCTCTTACCTTCAATGCTGGAGTTGGCTGCAGTACGTCCCTGAACTCTTTGCAATTCTTCTGGCAGGCCGCAGTCCACAATTCATCTGGGAATCCACAACAGCCCTACCCTGAACTCTTAACCAAAGGTGGATTAGTCAAAAAAGTGTGCCAAGACTAAAGACTCAAAATGAAGAAAGTTCACAGAGTGCAAGGCGTGCACAAAGTATCTTACCGTCCTTGGGTTGGCAGACTCCTCTTCAAACCCCTGGGGATAGAGGGCTGCATCACACTGCATCTCTACAGTAGAAAGACAAGACATCAAGAGATCACAGCCTTCATCAAGTGAGATGAGGTAAAGATAAATCAGCACGGTAAATTCAGGTTGGACATGAATCTTACCCTCTCTTCCATGTGCGGTCGCAGTCGATCCTTGCTCCCAAGAATGCTGCTGTACGTCTCGGTGAGATCGACGCTCCTGAAAACACAGAAAACAGGAGGTCAAAAAGATGAACCCTAGCTGCTCTGATCAAGTTATAATGCAAAACAGGGATCCAGCAGTGCTACAAAAGCAGCCCGTTACTCACCGCCTTGGCCAATGTGGGCCTCTGGACAAAACTGGGCAATGGGCTCCTTCCTCTTCATCTGTGGCTGGCTGGAGGCAGGCTGGCTGGGTGCTCCCGCGTTGTACCACGTCCGAGTGCCTGAAAATACACAACTGAGACGAGATTAGTAAAAATTCAAAACAATGAAACAAAGCACAGAAATTTAATGAAATTACAAAGAAAAATATGTTAAGGGGTAGGGGATGGTTAGTTGTGTTAGATAAGGGAAGTGCTCAGAAGACAGAGAAGAGACAGAAGGAAAGAAATAAATTCAAAATGCTTCTCTGTTAGGCTTCCTGGTAGCGGAATTGGATCATCTGTGGGGATGGGCTGCGGTGGGCTGGGCTGAGGTGGGCTGGGCTGGGCTCGGGTGGGCTCTGTTGCTTGCTGCGCATCCTGTCAATTGGAAGTCAAGAGGTCAAATGCTGACATGGTCAACATCATTTGGCAAGGTAAAGATCATGAAAGGCTGCATGAGGTACAGTGCGGATATCTTACCTCCTCTTCTCTTCTTGACTGCTGTTGGAATCCTTCAGGGTCAGCATACACCTCCTCATCTGCTAACAAAGCAAAATCATGACATCAAAACAACTTCCTACAGTTAACAAAATTGCAAAGAGCAAACTTAAGATACCTTTACATGAAACACAAACACACAGTAATGAAATGTGACATACTACAAGGTGTGCACACTGCATCTTACCTGCACGTCAGGGATTGACCGCAGTGCATCACAGAACTGCTGCCTACTGGTGACGGTCTGCTCTTCTTCCACGCAACCAGACCAGTCCAACCCCGTACCTGTTAACAAAGATTTCCACAGGTCAAACCCCAACCAACACTCCCACAACAAGGAAGAAGTAAAAAAAGTCCACAGAATTCAAGGTGTACACCGATTGTGCATTCTCTTACCTTCAATGCTGGAGTTGGCTGCAGTACGTCCCTGAACTCTTTGCACTTCTTCTGGCAGGCCGCAGTCCAGAATTATTTCTGGGAATCTACAACAGCCTAACCCTGACCTGTTAACACCAAAGGTGGAGTAGACAAAAAAGTGTGCTAAGAGTCGGGAGTCAAAATGAAGAAAATTCACAGAGTGCAAGGCCTGCACAAAGTATCTTACCGTCCTTGGGTTGGCAGACTCCTCTTCAAAGGACTCGGAATAGAGGGCTGCATCACATCGCATATCTACAGTAGAAAGACAAGACATCAAGAGACATCACAGTCTTCATCAAGTGAGATGGGGAAAAGATAAATAAAGACAGTAAAATCAGGTTGGACACGAATCTTACCCTCTCTTTCATGTGCGGTCGCAGTCGATCCTTGCTCCCCAGAATGCTGCTGTACGTCTCGGTGGGATCGACGCTCCTGAAAACACAGAAAGTCAGGAGGTCAAAAAGAAAATCCCTAGCTGCTCTGATCAAGTTATAATGCAAAACAGGGATCCAGCAGTGCTACAAAAGCAGCCCGTTACTCACCGCCTTGGCCAATGTGGGCCTCTGGACAAAACTGGGCAATGGGCTCCTTCCCCTTCATCTGTGGCTGGCTGGCTGGGTGCTCCCGCGTTGTACCACGTCCGAGTGCCTGAAAATATACAACTGAGACGAGATTAGTACAAATTCAAAACAATGAAACAAAGCACAGAAATTTAATGAAATTACAACAAAATATGTTAAGGGGTAGGGGATGGTTAGTTGTGTTAGATTAAGGGAAGTGCTCAGAAGACAGAGAAGAGACAGAAGGAAAGAAATAAATTCAAAATGCTTCTCTGTTAGGCTTCCTGGTAGCGGAATTGGATCCATCTGTCTGGGTTGGGCTGGGCTCTGCTGGGCTGGGGCTGGGCTGGGCTGGGCTCGGTTGGGCTCTGTTGCTTGCTGCGCATCCTGTCAATTGGAAGTCAAGAGGTCAAATGCTGACATGGTCAACATCATTTGGTAAAGTAAAGATCATGAAAGGCTGCATGATGTACAGTGTGAATCTTACCTCCTCTTCTCTTCTTGACTGCTGTTGGGATCCTCCAGGTCAGCATACACCTCCTCATCTGCTAACAAAGCAAAATCAAGACATCAAAACAACTTCCTAGAGTTAACAAAATTTCAGCGAGTGCAAAGAGCAAAGTTAAGATATCTTTTACACACAAACACACAGTAATGAAAGTGGACACACTGCAAGATGTGCATACTGCATCTTACCTGCACGTCAGGGATTGACCGCAGTGCATCACAGAACTGCTGCCTACTGGTGACGGTCTGCTCTTCTTCCACGCAACCAGGCCAGTCCAACCCCATACCTGTTAATAAAGATGTCCATAGGTCAAACCCCAAGAAACACTCCCACAACAAAGAAGGAGTAACAAAAGTCCACAGAATAAACTGGTACACTTATTGCGCTTCCACTTACCTTCAATGCTGGAGTTGGCCGCAGTAGGTCCCTGAACTCTACGCACTTCTTCTGGCCGGCTGCAGTCCACAATTCATCTGGGAATCCACAACAGCCTAACTCTGACCTGTTAACACCAAAGGTGGAGTAGCATAAAAAGTGTGCTAAGACTAAAGAGTCAAAATGAAGAAAGTTCACAGAGTGCAAGGCCTGCACAAAGTATCTTACCGTCCCTGGGTTGGCAGACTCCTCTTCAAAGGACTGTGAACAGAGGGATGCATCACACTGCATATCTACAGTAGAAAGACAAGACATCAAGAGATCACAGTCTTCATCAAGTGAGATGAGGAAAAGTTAAATCAACACAGTAAATTCAGGTTGAACATGAATCTTACCCTCTCTTCCATATGCGGTCGCAGTCGCTCCTTGCTCCCAAGAATGCTGCTGTACGTCTCGGTGAGATCGACGCCCCTGAAAACACAGAAAAACAGGTGGTGAAAAAGATGAACCCTATCTGCTCTGATCAAGTTATAATGCAAAACAGGGATCCAGCAAGTGCTACAAAAGCAGCCCGTTACTCACCGCCTTGGCCAATGTTGGCCTGCTAGACAAAACTGGGCAATGGGCTCCTTCCTCTTCATCTGTGGCTGGCTGGCTGGCTGGGTGCTCCCGCGTTGTACCACGTCCGAGTGCCTGAAAATATACAACTGAGACGAGATTAGTAAAAATTCAAAACAATGAAACAAAGCACACAAATTCAATGAAATTACAACAAAATGAATGTTAAGGGGTAGGGGATGGTTAGTTGTGTTAGATTAGGGAAGTGCTCAGAAGACAGAGAAGAGACAGAAGGAAAGAAATAAATTCAAAATGCTTCTCTGTTAGGCTTCCTGGTAGCGGAATTGGATCCACATCTGGGTTGGGCTGGGCTTGGATGCGCTGGTGGGGCTGCAACGGGCTGGGCTGGGCTGGGATCTGGGCTCTGTTGCTTGCTGCGCATCCTGTCAATTAGAAATCAAGAGGTCAAATGCTGATAAGATCAACATCATTTGGAAAGATAAAGATCATGAAAGGCTGCAAGATGTACAGTGTGAATCTTACCTCCTCTTCTCTTTTTGACTGCTGCTGGGATCCTCTTGGGTCAGCATACATCTCCTCTTATGCTAACAAAGCAAAATCAAGACATCAAAACAATTTCCTACAGTTAACAAAATTTCAGTGAGTGCAAAGAGTAAAGTCATGATACCTTTTAACACAAACACAGAGTAAGGAAAGTGGACACACTGCAAGATGTGCTGCGTCTTACCTGCACATCAGGGATTGACCACAGTGCATCACAGAACTGCTGCCTACTGGTGACGGTCTGCTCTTCTTCCACGCAACCTGTCCAACCCCGTACCTGTTAACAAAGATGTCCACAGGTCAAACCCAATGCAACACACTCCCACAACAAGGAAGGAGTAACAAAAGTCCACAGAATTGCCAGGTGTACACCGATTGCGCATCTCTCTTACCTTCAATGCTGGGGTGGCCGCAGTACGTCCCTGAACTCTTTGCACTTCTCCTGGCAGGCTGCAGTCCACAATTCATCTGGGAATCCACACAGCCTAACCCTGACCTGTTAACATCAAATGTGGAGAAGTCAAAAAAGTGTGCTAAGACTAAAGAGTCAAAATGAAGAAAGTTCACAGTGTGCAAGTGTTGCACAAAGTATCTTACCGTCCTGGGTTGGCAGTCTCCTCTTCAAAGGGCTGGGAATGGAGGGCTGCATCACACTGCATACCTAAAGTAGAAAGACAAGACATATCAAGAGAGATCACAGTCTTCATCAAGTGAGATGAGGAAAAAAATAACCAAACACTAAATTCAGGTTGGACATGAATCTTACCCTCTCTTCCTGTGCGGTCGCAGTCGATCCTTGCTCCCAAGAATGCTGCTGTACGTCTCGGTGGGATCAACGCTCCTGAAAACACAGAAAAACAGGAGGTCAAAAAGAAAAACCCTAGCTGCTCTGATCAAGTTATAATGCAAAAGAGGGATCCAGGAAGTGCTACAAAAGCAGCCTGTTACTCACCGCATTGGCCAATGTTGGCTGCTAGACAAAGCTGGGCGATGGGCTCCTTCCTCTTCATCTGTGGCTGAGCAGCTGGCTGGCTCCTCCCGCGTTGTACCACGTCCGAGTGCCTGAAAATAGAAACTGAGAAGAGAATAGTAATCATTCAAAACAATGAAACAAAGCTCAGAAATTCAATGAAGATTAAGGGGTAGGGGATGGTTAGTTTTTTTAGATTTAGTGGAAGTGCTGAGGAGACAGAGAGGAGACAGAAAGAAGGAAATAAATTCAAAATGCTTCTCTATTAGGCTTCCTGGTCGCGGAATTGGATCCACATCTGGGTTGGGCTGGGCTTTGGTGGGCTGGGCTCTGGTGGGCTGGGCTCTGGTGGGATCTTCTTCTTGCTGCGCATCCTGTCAATTGAAAGTCAAGAGGTCAAATGCTGATATGGCCAACATCGGTTGGCAAGGAAAAGATCATGAAAGGCTTCCAGATGTACAGTGTGAATCTTACCTCCTCTTCCCTCCTTGACTGCTGTTGGGATTCGTCCAGTTCAGCGTACACCTCCTCCTCTGCTAACAAAGCAAAATCAAGACATCAAAACAACTTCCTAGAGTTATTCAAACTAAAATTACAGACTGTGCTCTTACCTGTGCAAAGAGAAGAGTTAAGGTACCTTTTAACACAAACACACAGGACTGAAAGTGCACAGAGTGCAAGATGTGCACACTGCGTCTTACCTGCAACTCAGGGATTTGGTGTCGGTCTGCTCTTCTTCCACGCAAGCTGTCCAAGCCCGTACCTGTTAACAAAGATGTCGACAGTTCAGAGCCAATGCTACACACACTCCCACCACAAGGAAGGAGTAACAAAAGTCCACAGATTGCCAGGTGAACACCGATTGCACATCTTCTTACCTTCAATGCTGGGGTGGGCCGCTGTATGTCCCTGAATTCTGTGCACATCTTCTGGCAGGCTGCGGTCCACACTTCATCTGGGAATCAACACTAGCCTAACCCACACCTGTTAACATCAAATGTGCAGAAGTCAAACAAGTGTGCTAAGACTAACCAGTGAAAACGAAGAAAGTCCACAGTGTGCGAGGTGTTGCACAAAGTATCTTACCATCCGTGGGTTTGGCGGTCTCCTCTTCAAAGGGCCGGGGATGGAGGGCTGCCTCACACTGCATACCTAAAGTAGAAAGACAAGCCACTATCAAGAGAGGTCACAGTCTTCATCAAGTGAGATGAGGAAAAAAATAACCAAACACTTAATTTAGGTTTTACCCTCTCTTCCGTGTGCGGTCGCAGTCGATCCCTGCTCCCAAGAATGCTGCTGTACGTCTCGGTGGGATCAACGCTCCTGAAAACACAGGAAAACAAGAGGTCAAATAAACACCCTAGCTGCCCTGATCAAGTTATAATGCAAAAGAGGGATCCAGGAAGTGCTACAAAAGCAGCCTGTTACTCACCGCATTGGCCAATGTTGGCTGCTAGACAAAGCTGGGCGATGGGCTCCTTCCTCTTCATCTGTGGCTGGGCGGCTGGCTGGCTCCTCCCGCGTTGTACCACGTCCGAGTGCCTGAAAATAGAAACTGAGAAGAGATTAGTAAACATTCAAAACAATGAAACAAAGCTCAGAAATTCAATGAAGATTAAGGGGTAGGGGATGGTTAGTTTTGTTAGATTTAGTGGAAGTGCTGAGGAGACAGAGAGGAGACAGAAAGAAGGAAATAAATTCAAAATGCTTCTCTATTAGGCTTCCTGGTCGCGGAATTGGATCCACATCTGGGTTGGGCTGGGCTTTGGTGGGATCTTCTTCTTGATGCACATCCTGTCAATTGAAAGTCGAGAGGTCAAATGCTGATATGGCCAACATCGGTTGGCAAGGAAAAAGATCATGAAAGACTTCCAGATGTACAGCGTGAATCTTACCTCCTCTTCCCTCCTTGACTGCTGTTGGGATTCGTCCAGTTCAGCGTACACCTCCTCCTCTGCTAACAAAGCAAAATCAAGACATCAAAACAACTTCCTAGAGTTATTCAAACTAAAATTACAGACTGTGCTCTTAACTGTGCAAAGAGAAGAGTTTAACACAAACACACAGGACTGAAAGTGCACAGAGTGCAAGATGTGCACACTGCATCTTACCTGCAACTCAGGGATTGACCGCAATGCATCGCAGAACAGCTGCCTACTGGTGTCGGCCTGCTCTTCTTCCACGCAACCTGTCCAAGCCCGTACCTGTTACCAAAGATGTCGACAGTTCAGAGCCAATGCTACACACACTCCCACCACAAGGAAGGAGTAACAAAAGTCCACAGATTGCCAGGTGAACACCGATTGCACATCTTCTTACCTTCAATGCTGGGGTGGGCCGCTGTATGTCCCTGAATTCTGTGCACTTCTTCTGGCAGGCTGCGGTCCACACTTCATCTGGAAATCAACACTAGCCTAACCCGCACCTGTTAACATCAAATGTGCAGAAGTCAAACAAGTGTGCTAAGACTAACCAGTGAAAACGAAGAAAGTCCACAGTGTGCGAGGTGTTGCACAAAGTATCTTACCATCCGTGGATTTGGCAGTCTCCTCTTCAAAGGGCTGGGAATGGAGGGCTGCCTCACACTGCACACCTAAAGTAGAAAGACAAGCCACTATCAAGAGAGGTCACAGTCTTCATCAAGTGAGATGAGGAAAAAAATAACCAAACACTTAATTCAGGTTTAGGACATGAATCTTACCCTCTCTTCCGCGTGCGGTCGCAGTAGATCCCTGCTCCCAAGAATGCTGCTGTACGTCTCGGTGGGATCAACGCTCCTGAAAACACACGAAGACAAGAGGTCAAAGAAACAACCCTAGCTGCCCTGATCAAGTTATAATGCAAAAGAGGGATCCAGGAAGTGCTATAAAATCAGCCTGTTACTCACCGCATTGGCCAATGTTGGCTGCTAGACAAGGCTGGGCGATGGGCTCCTTCCTCTTCATCTGTGGCTGGGCGGCTGGCTGGGTGCTCCCGCGTTGTACCACGTCCGAGTGCCTGAAAATAGAAACTGAGAAGAGATTAGTAAACATTCAAAACAATGAAACAAAGCTCAGAAATTCAATGAAGATTAAGGGGTAGGGGATGGTTAGTTTTGTTAGATTAAGGGGAAGTGCTGAGGAGACAGAGAGGAGACAGAGAGAAGGAAATAAATTCAAAATGCTTCTCTGTTAGGCTTCCTGGTCGCGGAATTGGATCCACATCTGGGTTGGGCTGGGCTTTGGTGGGCTGGGCTCTGGTGGGATCTTCTTCTTGATGCGCATCCTGTCAATTGAAAGTCGAGAGGTCAAATGCTGATATGGCCAACATCGGTTGGCAAGGAAAAAGATCATGAAAGACTTCCAGATGTACAGCGTGAATCTTACCTCCTCTTCCCTCCTTGACTGCTGTTGGGATTCGTCCAGTTCAGCGTACACCTCCTCCTCTGCTAACAAAGCAAAATCAAGACATCAAAACAACTTCCTAGAGTTATTCAAACTAAAATTACAGACTGTGCTCTTAACTGTGCAAAGAGAAGAGTTTAACACAAACACACAGGACTGAAAGTGCACAGAGTGCAAGATGTGCACACTGCGTCTTACCTGCAACTCAGGGATTAATTGACCGCAATGCATCGCAGAATGGCTGCCTACTGGTGTCGGTCTGCTCTTCTTCCACGCAACCTGTCCAAGCCCGTACCTGTTAACAAAGATGTCGACAGTTCAGAGCCAATGCTACACACACTCCCGCCACAAGGAAGGAGTAACAAAAGTCCACAGATTGCCAGGTGAACACCGATTGCACATCTTCTTACCTTCAATGCTGGGGTGGGCCGCTGTATGTCCCTGAATTCTGTGCACTTCTTCTGGCAGGCTGCGGTCCACACTTCATCTGGAAATCAACACTAGCCTAACCCGCACCTGTTAACATCAAATGTGCAGAAGTCAAACAAGTGTGCTAAGACTAACCAGTGACAATGAAGAAAGTCCACAGTGTGTGAGGTGTTGCACAAAGTATCTTACCTTCCTTGGGTTTGGCAGTCTCCTCTTCAAAGGGCTGGGAATGGAGGGCTGCCTCACACTGCATACCTAAAGTAGAAAGACAAGACACTATCAAGAGAGGTCACAGTCTTCATCAAGTGAGATGAGGAAAAAAATAACCAAACACTTAATTCAGGTCTAGGACATGAATCTTACCCTCTCTTCCGTGTGCGGTCGCAGTCGATCCCTGCTCCCAAGAATGCTGCTGTACGTCTCGGTGGGATCAACGCTCCTGAAAACACAGGAAAACAAGAGGTCAAATAAACACCCTAGCTGCCCTGATCAAGTTATAATGCAAAAGAGGGATCCAGGAAGTGCTACAAAAGCAGCCTGTTACTCACCGCATTGGCCAATGTTGGCTGCTAGACAAGGCTGGGCGATGGGCTCCTTCCTCTTCATCTGTGGCTGGGCGGCTGGCTGGGTGCTCCCGCGTTGTACCACGTCCGAGTGCCTGAAAATAGAAACTGAGAAGAGATTAGTAAACATTCAAATCAATGAAACAAAGTTCAGAAATTCAATGAAGATTAAGGGGTAGGGGATGGTTAGTTTTTTTAGATTTAGTGGAAGTGCTGAGGAGACAGAGAGGAGACAGAGAGAAGGAAATAAATTCAAAATGCTTCTCTGTTAGGCTTCCTGGTCGCGGAATTGGATCCACATCTGGGTTGGGCTGGGCTTTGGTGGGCTGGGCTCTGGTGGGATCTTCTTCTTGCTGCGCATCCTGTCAATTGAAAGTCAAGAGGTCAAATGCTGATATGGCCAACATCGGTTGGCAAGGAAAAGATCATGAAAGGCTTCCAGATGTACAGTGTGAATCTTACCTCCTCTTCCCTCCTTGATTGCTGTTGGGATTCGCCAGTTCAGCATACACCTCCTCTCTGCTAACAAAGCAAAATCAAGACATCAAAACAACTTCCTAGAGTTATTCAAACTAAAATTACAGACTGTGCTCTTAACTGTGCAAAGAGAAGAGTTTAACACAAACACACAGGACTGAAAGTGCACAGAGTGCAAGATGTGCACACTGCGTCTTACCTGCAACTCAGGGATTTGGTGTCGGTCTGCTCTTCTTCCACGCAAGGTGTCCAAGCCCGTACCTGTTAACAAAGATGTTGACAGTTCAGAGCCAATGCTACACACACTCCCACCACAAGGAAGGAGTAACAAAAGTCCACAGATTGCCAGGTGAACACCGATTGCACATCTTCTTACCTTCAATGCTGGGGTGGGCCGCTGTATGTCCCTGAACTCTTTGCACTTCTTCTGGCAGGCTGCGGTCCACACTTCATCTGGGAATCCACAACAGCCTAACCCTGACCTGTTAACATCAAATGTGGAGAAGTCAAAAAAGTGTGCTAAGACTAAAGAGTCAAAATGAAGAAAGTTCACAGTGTGCGAGGCGTGCACAAAGTATCTTACCGTCCCTGGGTTGGCAGACTCCTCTTCAAAGGACTGGGAATGGAGGGCTGCATCACACTGCATATCTACAAGTAGAAAGACAAGACATCAAGAGAGATCACAGTCTTCATCAAGTGAGATGAGGAAAAAATAAATCAACACACTAAATTCAGGTTGGACATGAATCTTACCCTCTCTTCCATGTGCGGTCGCAGTCGATCCTTGCTCCCAGAATGCTGCTGTACGTCTCGGTGGGATCGACGCTCCTGAAAAAACAGAAAATCAGGAGGTCAAAAGAAGAACCCTAGCTGCTCTGATCAAGTTATAATGCAAAACAGGGATACGGAAGTGCTACAAAAGCAGCCTGTAACTCACCGCCTTGGCAAATTTAGGCCGCTAGACAAAGCCGGGCAATGGGCTCCTTCCTCTTCATCTGTGGCTGGCTGGCGGCTGGCTGGCTGCTCCCGCGTTGTACCACGTCCGAGTGCCAGAAAATATACAACTGAGACGAGATTAGTAAAAATTCAAAGCAAAGAAACAAAAGCACACAAATTCAATGAAATTACAACAAAATCATGTTAAGGGGTAGGGGATGGTTAGTTTTTTTAGATTTAGTGGAAGTGCTGAGAAGACAGAGAAGAGACAGAAGGAAAGAAATAAATTCAAAATGCTTCTCTGTTAGGCTTCCTGGTAGCGGAATTGGATCCTCGGCTGGACTGGGTTGGGCTGGGCTGCGGTGGGCTGGGCTGGGCTGGGCTGGGCTCTGCTGCTTGCTGCGCATCCTGTCAATTGAAAGTCAAGAGGTCAAATGCTGATACAGTCAACATCATTTGCCAAGGTAAAGATCACGAAAGCCTGTAAGATGTACAGTGTGAATCTTACCTCCTCTTCTCTCCTTGACTGCTGTTGGGATCCTTCCCGGTCAGCATACACCTCTTCTTCTGCTAACAAAGCAATCAAGACATCAAAACAAATTCCTACAGTTAACAAAATTTCAGCGAGTGCAAAGAGCAAAGTTATGATATCTTTCAACACAAACACACAGTAATGAAAGTGGACACACTGCAAGATGTGCACACTGCATCTTACCTGCACGTCAGGGATTGACCGCAGTGCATCACAGAACTGCTGCCTACTGGTGACGGTCTGCTCTTCTTCCACGCAACCAGGCCAGTCCAACCCCGTACCTGTTAACAAAGATTGTCCACAGGTCAAACCCCAAGAACACACTCCCAAAACAAGGAAGGGGTAACAAAAGTCCACAGAATAAACCGGTGTACACCGATTGCGCATCCGCTTACCTTCAATGCTGGAGTTGGCCGCAGTACGTCCCTGAACTCTGCATGCACTTCTTCTGGCAGGCTGCAGTCCACAATCATCTGGGAATCCACAACAGCCTAACCCTGACCTGTTAACACCAAAGGTGGAGAAGTCAAAAAAGTGTGCCAAGACTAAAGACTCAAAATGAAGAAAGTTCACAGAGTGCAACGTGTGCACAAAGTATCTTACCGTCCCTGGGTTGGCAGACTCCTCTTCAAAGGACTGTGAACAGAGGGATGCATCACACTGCATATCTACAGTAGAAAGACAAGACATCAAGAGATCACAGTCTTCATCAAGTGAGATGAGGAAAAGATAAATCAACACAGTAAATTCAGGTTGGACACCAATCTTACCCTCTCTTCCATGTGCGGTCGCAGTCGATCCTTGTTCCCCAGAATGCTGCTGAACCTCTCGGTGGGATCGACGCTCCTGAAAACACAAAAAGTCAGGAGGTCAAAAGAAAAACAATAGCTGCTCTGATCAAGTTATAATGCAAAACAGGGATCCAGATGTGCTACAAAAGCAGCCCTTTACTCACCGCCTTGGCAAATGTAAGCCGCTAGACAAAGCTGGGCAATGGGCTCCTTCCTCTTCATCTGTGGCTGGCTGGCTGGCTGGGTGCTCCCGCGTTGTACCACGTCCGAGTGCCTGAAAATATACAACTGAGACGAGATTAGTAAAAATTCAAAACAATGAAACAAAGCACACAAATTCAAGGAAATTACAACAAAATCAATGTTAAGGGGTAGGGGATGGTTAGTTGTGTTAGATTAGGGAAGTGCTAGAAGACAGAGAAGAGACAGAAGGAAAGAAATAAATTCAAAATGCTTCTCTGTTAGGCTGCCTGGTAGCGGCACTTGGATCTCTGGTGGGGATGGGCTGGCTGGTGTGGGCTGCGCTGGATCCGGGCTGGGCTGCGAAGGGCTGGGCTGGGCTCTGCTGCTTGCTGCGCATCCTGTCAATTGGAAGTCAAGAGGTCAAATGCTGATATGGTCAAAATCATTTGGCAAGGTCAAGATCACAAAAGGCTGAGACAAAGATGTACAGTGTGAATCTTACCTCCTCTTCCCTTCTTGACTGCTGTTGGGATCCTCCCGGGTCAGCATACACCTCCTCTCTGCTAACAAAGCAAAATCAAGACATCAAAACAACTTCTTCCAGTTAACAAAATTTCAGCGAGTGTTAAGAGCAAAGTTATGATATCTTTCAACACAAACACACAGTAAAGAAAGTGGACACACTGCAAGATGTGCTGCATCTTACCTGCACGTCAGGGATTGACCGCAGTGCATCACAGAACTGCTGCCTACTGGTGACAGTCTGCTCTTCTTCCATGCAACCAGGTCAGTCCAACCCCGTATCTGTTAACGAAGATGTCCACAGGTCAAACCCCAAGAAACACTCCCAAAACAAGGAAAGTAACAAATTAAGTCCACAGAATAAACCGTGTACACCGCTGGCGCACCGGCGTACCTTCAACGCCGGAGTTGGCCGCAGTACGTCCCTGAACTGTGCGCACTTCCTCTGGCAGGCTGCAGTCCACTAATCATCTGGGAATACACAACAGCCAAACCCTGACCTGTTGACACCAAAGGTGGAGAAGTCAAAAAAGTGTGCCAAGACTGAAAGAGTCAAAATGAAGAAAGTTCACAGAGCGCGAGGCGTGCACAAAGTATCTTACCGTCCCTGGGTTGGCAGACTCCTCTTCAAAGGACTGTGAACAGAGGGATGCATCACACCGCATATCTACAGTAGAAAGACAAGACATCAAGAGATCACAGATATAATCAAGTGAGATGAGGAAAAGATAAATCAACACCGTAAATTCAGGTTGGACACGAATCTTACCCTCTCTTCCATGTGCGGTCGCAGTCGATCGTTGCTCCCCAGAATGCTGCTGAACCTCTCGGTGGGATCGACGCTCCTGAAAACACAGAAAATCAGGAGGTCAAAAGAAAAGCAATAGCTGCTCTGATCAAGTTATAATGCAAAACAGGGATCCAGATGTGCTACAAAAGCAGCCCTTTACTCACCGCCTTGGCAAATGTAAGCCGCTAGACAAAGCTGGGCAATGGGCTCCTTCCTCTTCATCTGTGGCTGGCTGGCTGGAGGCTGGCTGGCTGGGTGCTCCCGCGTTGTACCACGTCCGAGTGCCTGAAAATATACAACTGAGACGAGATTAGTAAAAATTCAAAACAATGAAACAAAGCACACAAATTCAAGGAAATTACAACAAAATCAATGTTAAGGGGTAGGGGATGGTTAGTTGTGTTAGATTAGGAAAGTGCTAAGAAGATAGAGAAGAGACAGAAGGAAAGAAATAAATTCAAAATGCTTCTCTGTTAGGCTGCCTGGTAGCGGCACTGGATCTCTCTGGGGGGATGGGCTGGCTGGTGTGGGCTGCGCTGGATCTGGGGCTGGGCTGCGAAGGGCTGGGCTGGGCTCTGCTGCTTGCTGCGCATCCTGTCAATTGCAAGTCAAGAGGTCAAATGCTGATACGGTCAACATCATTTGGCAAGGTCAAGGTCACAAAAGGCTGCAAGACATACACTGTGAATCTTACCTCCTCTTCTCTGCTTGACTGCTGTTGGGATCCTCCCGGGTCAGCATACATCTCCACTTCTGCTAACAAAGCAAAATCAAGACATCAAAACAACTTCTTCCAGTTAACAAAATTTCAGCGAGTGTAAAGAGCAAAGTTATGATATCTTTCATCACAAACACATTGTAAAGAAAGTGGACACACTGCAAGATGTGCTGCATCTTACCTGCACGTCAGGGATTGACCGCAGTGCATCACAGAACTGCTGCTACTGGTGACGGTCTGCTCTTCTTCCACGCAACCAGGCCAGTCCAACCCCGTACCTGTTAACAAAGATGTCCACAGGTCAAACCCTAAGAAACACTCCCAAAACAAGGAAGGGGTAACAAAATCCACAGAATAAACCGTGTACACCGATTGCGCATCGGCTTACCTTCAACGCCGGAGTTGGCCGCAGTACGTCCCTGAACTCTGCATACTTCCTCTGGCAGGCTGCAGTCCGCTAATCATCTGGGAATCCACAACAGCCAAACCCTGACCTGTTGACACCAAAGGTGAAGTCAAAAAAGTGTGCCAAGACTGAAAGAGTCAAAATGAAGAAAGTTCACAGAGCGCGAGGCGTGCACAAAGTATCTTACCGTCCCTGGGTTGGCAGACTCCTCTTCAGAGGACTGGGAACAGAGGGCTGCATCACGTCGCATATCTACAGTAGAAAGACAAGACATCAAGAGATCATTAATCAAGTGAGATGAGGAAAAGATCAATCAACACCGTAAATTCAGGGTGGACACGAATCTTACCCTCTCTTCCATGTGCGGTCGCAGTCGATCCTTGTTCCCCAGAATGCTGCTGAACCTCTCGGTGGGATCGACGCTCCTGAAAACACAAAAAATCAGGAGGTCAAAAGAAAAGCAATAGCTGCTCTGATCAAGTTATAATGCAAAACAGGGATCCAGATGTGCTACAAAAGCAGCCCTTTACTCACCGCCTTGGCAAATGTAAGCCGCTAGACAAAGCTGGGCAATGGGCTCCTTCCTCTTCATCTGTGGCTGGCTGGCTGGAGGCTGGCTGAGTGCTCCCGCGTTGTACCACGTCCGAGTGCCTGAAAATATACAACTGAGACGAGATTAGTAAAAATTCAAAACAATGAAACAAAGCACACAAATTCAAGGAAATTACAACAAAATCAATGTTAAGGGGTAGGGGATGGTTAGTTGTGTTAGATTAGGAAAGTGCTAAGAAGATAGAGAAGAGACAGAAGGAAAGAAATAAATTCAAAATGCTTCTCTGTTAGGCTGCCTGGTCGCGGCACTGGATCTCCTGGTGGGATGGGCTGGCTGGTGTGGGCTGCGCTGGATCCGGGGCTGGGCTGCGAAGGGCTGGGCTGGGCTGGGCTCTGCTGCTTGCTGCGCATCCTGTCAATTGCAAGTCAAGAGGTCAAATGCTGATACGGTCAAGATCATTTGGCAAGGTCAAGGTCACAAAAGGCTGCAAGATATACACTGTGAATCTTACCTCCTCTTCTCTGCTTGACTGCTGTTGGGATCCTCCCGGGTCAGCATACATCTCCACTTCTGCTAACAAAGCAAAATCAAGACATCAAAACAACTTCTTCCAGTTAACAAAATTTCAGCGAGTGTAAAGAGCAAAGTTATGATATCTTTCATCACAAACACATTGTAAAGATAGTGGACACACTGCAAGATGTGCTGCATCTTACCTGCACGTCAGGGATTGACCGCAGTGCATCACAGAACTGCTGCTACTGGTGACGGTCTGCTCTTCTTCCACGCAACCAGGCCAGTCCAACCCCGTACCTGTTAACAAAGATGTCCACAGGTCAAACCCTAAGAAACACTCCCAAAACAAGGAAGGGGTAACAAAATCCACAGAATAAACCGTGTACACCGATTGCGCATCGGCTTACCTTCAACGCCGGAGTTGGCCGCAGTACGTCCCTGAACTCTGCATACTTCCTCTGGCAGGCTGCAGTCCGCTAATCATCTGGGAAACCACAACAGCCAAACCCTGACCTGTTGACACCAAAGGTGAAGTCAAAAAAGTGTGCCAAGACTGAAAGAGTCAAAATGAAGAAAGTTCACAGAGCGCGAGGCGTGCACAAAGTATCTTACCGTCCCTGGGTTGGCAGACTCCTCTTCAAAGGACTGGGAACAGAGGGCTGCATCACATCGCATATCTACAGTAGAAAGACAAGACATCAAGAGATCACAGATTTAATCAAGTGAGATGAGGAAAAGATCAATCAACACCGTAAATTCAGGGTGGACACGAATCTTACCCTCTCTTCCATGTGCGGTCGCAGTCGATCCTTGTTCCCCAGAATGCTGCTGAACCTCTCGGTGGGATCGACGCTCCTGAAAACACAAAAAATCAGGAGGTCAAAAGAAAAGCAATAGCTGCTCTGATCAAGTTATAATGCAAAACAGGGATCCAGATGTGCTACAAAAGCAGCCCTTTACTCACCGCCTTGGCAAATGTAAGCCGCTAGACAAAGCTGGGCAATGGGCTCCTTCCTCTTCATCTGTGGCTGGCTGGCTGGAGGCTGGCTGAGTGCTCCCGCGTTGTACCACGTCCGAGTGCCTGAAAATATACAACTGAGACGAGATTAGTAAAAATTCAAAACAATGAAACAAAGCACACAAATTCAAGGAAATTACAACAAAATCAATGTTAAGGGGTAGGGGATGGTTAGTTGTGTTAGATTAGGAAAGTGCTAAGAAGATAGAGAAGAGACAGAAGGAAAGAAATAAATTCAAAATGCTTCTCTGTTAGGCTGCCTGGTCGCGGCACTGGATCTCCTGGTGGGATGGGCTGGCTGGTGTGGGCTGCGCTGGATCCGGGGCTGGGCTGCGAAGGGCTGGGCTGGGCTCTGCTGCTTGCTGCGCATCCTGTCAATTGCAAGTCAAGAGGTCAAATGCTGATACGGTCAACATCATTTGGCAAGGTCAAGATCACAAAAGGCGGCCAGATATACACAGTGAATCTTACCTCCTCTTCCCTGCTTGACTGCTGTTGGGATCCTCCCGGGTCAGCATACATCTCCTCTTCTGCTAACAAAGCAAAATCAAGACATCAAAACAACTTCTTACAGTTAACAAAATTTCAGCGAGTGTAAAGAGCAAAGTTATGATATCTTTCATCACAAACACATTGTAAAGATAGTGGACACACTGCAAGATGTGCTGCATCTTACCTGCACGTCAGGGATTGACCGCAGTGCATCACAGAACTGCTGCTACTGGTGACGGTCTGCTCTTCTTCCACGCAACCAGGCCAGTCCAACCCCGTACCTGTTAACAAAGATGTCCACAGGTCAAACCCTAAGAAACACTCCCAAAACAAGGAAGGGGTAACAAAATCCACAGAATAAACCGTGTACACCGATTGCGCATCGGCTTACCTTCAACGCCGGAGTTGGCCGCAGTACGTCCCTGAACTCTGCATACTTCCTCTGGCAGGCTGCAGTCCGATAATCATCTGGGAATCCACAACAGCCAAACCCTGACCTGTTGACACCAAAGGTGAAGTCAAAAAAGTGTGCCAAGACTGAAAGAGTCAAAATGAAGAAAGTTCACAGAGCGCGAGGCGTGCACAAAGTATCTTACCGTCCCTGGGTTGGCAGACTCCTCTTCAAAGGACTGGGAACAGAGGGCTGCATCACATCGCATATCTACAGTAGAAAGACAAGACATCAAGAGATCACAGATTTAATCAAGTGAGATGAGGAAAAGATCAATCAACACCGTAAATTCAGGGTGGACACGAATCTTACCCTCTCTTCCATGTGCGGTCGCAGTCGATCCTTGTTCCCCAGAATGCTGCTGAACCTCTCGGTGGGATCGACGCTCCTGAAAACACAAAAAATCAGGAGGTCAAAAGAAAAGCAATAGCTGCTCTGATCAAGTTATAATGCAAAACAGGGATCCAGATGTGCTACAAAAGCAGCCCTTTACTCACCGCCTTGGCAAATGTAAGCCGCTAGACAAAGCTGGGCAATGGGCTCCTTCCTCTTCATCTGTGGCTGGCTGGCTGGAGGCTGGCTGAGTACTCTCGCGTTGTACCACGTCCGAGTGCCTGAAAATATACAACTGAGACGAGATTAGTAAAAATTCAAAACAATGAAACAAAGCACACAAATTCAAGGAAATTACAACAAAATCAATGTTAAGGGGTAGGGGATGGTTAGTTGTGTTAGATTAGGAAAGTGCTAAGAAGATAGAGAAGAGACAGAAGGAAAGAAATAAATTCAAAATGCTTCTCTGTTAGGCTGCCTGGTCGCGGCACTGGATCTCCTGGTGGGATGGGCTGGCTGGTGTGGGCTGCGCTGGATCCGGGGCTGGGCTGCGAAGGGCTGGGCTGGGCTCTGCTGCTTGCTGCGCATCCTGTCAATTGCAAGTCAAGAGGTCAAATGCTGATACGGTCAACATCATTTGGCAAGGTCAAGATCACAAAAGGCGGCCAGATATACACAGTGAATCTTACCTCCTCTTCCCTGCTTGACTGCTGTTGGGATCCTCCCGGGTCAGCATACATCTCCTCCTCTGCTAACAAAGCAAAATCAAGACATCAAAACAACTTCTTCCAGTTAACAAAATTTCAGCGAGTGTAAAGAGCAAAGTTATGATATCTTTCATCACAAACACATTGTAAAGAAAGTGGACACACTGCAAGATGTGCTGCATCTTACCTGCACGTCAGGGATTGACCGCAGTGCATCACAGAACTGCTGCTACTGGTGACGGTCTGCTCTTCTTCCACGCAACCAGGCCAGTCCAACCCCGTACCTGTTAACAAAGATGTCCACAGGTCAAACCCTAAGAAACACTCCCAAAACAAGGAAGGGGTAACAAAATCCACAGAATAAACCGTGTACACCGATTGCGCATCGGCTTACCTTCAACGCCGGAGTTGGCCGCAGTACGTCCCTGAACTCTGCATACTTCCTCTGGCAGGCTGCAGTCCGCTAATCATCTGGGAATCCACAACAGCCAAACCCTGACCTGTTGACACCAAAGGTGAAGTCAAAAAAGTGTGCCAAGACTGAAAGAGTCAAAATGAAGAAAGTTCACAGAGCGCGAGGCGTGCACAAAGTATCTTACCGTCCCTGGGTTGGCAGACTCCTCTTCAAAGGACTGGGAACAGAGGGCTGCATCACATCGCATATCTACAGTGGAAAGACAAGTCCTCAAGAGATCACAGATTTAATCAAGTGAGATGAGGAAAAGATAAATCAACACCGTAAATTCAGGTTGGACACGAATCTTACCCTCTCTTCCATGTGCGGTCGCAGTCGATCCTTGTTCCCCAGAATGCTGCTGAACCTCTCGGTGGGATCGACGCTCCTGAAAACACAAAAAATCAGGAGGTCAAAAGAAAAGCAATAGCTGCTCTGATCAAGTTATAATGCAAAACAGGGATCCAGATGTTCTACAAAAGCAGCCCTTTACTCACCGCCTTGGCAAATGTAAGCCGCTAGACAAAGCTGGGCAATGGGCTCCTTCCTCTTCATCTGTGGCTGGCTGGCTGGAGGCTGGCTGGCTGGGTGCTCCCGCGTTGTACCACGTCCGAGTGCCTGAAAATATACAACTGAGACGAGATTAGTAAAAATTCAAAACAATGAAACAAAGCACACAAATTCAAGGAAATTACAACAAAATCAATGTTAAGGGGTAGGGGATGGTTAGTTGTGTTAGATTAGGAAAGTGCTAAGAAGATAGAGAAGAGACAGAAGGAAAGAAATAAATTCAAAAAGCTTCTCTGTTAGGCTGCCTGGTCGCGGCACTGGATCTCCTGGTGGGATGGGCTGGCTGGTGTGGGCTGCGCTGGATCCGGGGCTGGGCTGCGAAGGGCTGGGCTGGGCTCTGCTGCTTGCTGCGCATCCTGTCAATTGCAAGTCAAGAGGTCAAATGCTGATACGGTCAACATCATTTGGCAAGGTCAAGATCACAAAAGGCTGCAAGATATACACAGTGAATCTTACCTCCTCTTCCCTGCTTGACTGCTGTTGGGATCCTCCCGGGTCAGCATACATCTCCACTTCTGCTAACAAAGCAAAATCAAGACATCAAAACAACTTCTTCCAGTTAACAAAATTTCAGCGAGTGTTAAGAGCAAAGTTATGATATCTTTCAACACAAACACATTGTAAAGAAAGTGGACACACTGCAAGATGTGCTGCATCTTACCTGCACGTCAGGGATTGACCGCAGTGCATCACAGAACTGCTGCTACTGGTGACGGTCTGCTCTTCTTCCACGCAACCAGGCCAGTCCAACCCCGTACCTGTTAACAAAGATGTCCACAGGTCAAACCCTAAGAAACACTCCCAAAACAAGGAAGGGGTAACAAAATCCACAGAATAAACCGTGTACACCGATTGCGCATCGGCTTACCTTCAACGCCGGAGTTGGCCGCAGTACGTCCCTGAACTCTGCACTTCCTCTGGCAGGCTGCAGTCCGCTAATCATCTGGGAAACCACAACAGCCAAACCCTGACCTGTTGACACCAAAGGTGAAGTCAAAAAAGTGTGCCAAGACTGAAAGAGTCAAAATGAAGAAAGTTCACAGAGCGCGAGGCGTGCACAAAGTATCTTACCGTCCCTGGGTTGGCAGACTCCTCTTCAAAGGACTGGGAACAGAGGGCTGCATCACATCGCATATCTACAGTGGAAAGACAAGTCCTCAAGAGATCACAGATTTAATCAAGTGAGATGAGGAAAAGATAAATCAACACCGTAAATTCAGGTTGGACACGAATCTTACCCTCTCTTCCATGTGCGGTCGCAGTCGATCGTTGCTCCCCAGAATGCTGCTGAACCTCTCGGTGGGATCGACGCTCCTGAAAACACAGAAAATCAGGAGGTCAAAAGAAAAGCAATAGCTGCTCTGATCAAGTTATAATGCAAAACAGGGATCCAGATGTGCTACAAAAGCAGCCCTTTACTCACCGCCTTGGCAAATGTAAGCCGCTAGACAAAGCTGGGCAATGGGCTCCTTCCTCTTCATCTGTGGCTGGCTGGCTGGAGGCTGGCTGGCTGGGTGCCCCCGCGTTGTACCACGTCCGAGTGACTGAAAATATACAACTGAGACGAGATTAGTAAAAATTCAAAACAATGAAACAAAGCACACAAATTCAAGGAAATTACAACAAAATCAATGTTAAGGGGTAGGGGATGGTTAGTTGTGTTAGATTAGGAAAGTGCTAAGAAGATAGAGAAGAGACAGAAGGAAAGAAATAAATTCAAAATGCTTCTCTGTTAGGCTGCCTGGTAGCGGCACTGGATCTCTCTGGTGGGATGGGCTGGCTGGTGTGGGCTGCGCTGGATCCGGGGCTGGGCTGCGAAGGGCTGGGCTGGGCTCTGCTGCTTGCTGCGCATCCTGTCAATTGCAAGTCAAGAGGTCAAATGCTGATACGGTCAACATCATTTGGCAAGGTCAAGGTCACAAAAGGCTGCAAGACATACACTGTGAATCTTACCTCCTCTTCTCTGCTTGACTGCTGTTGGGATCCTCCCGGGTCAGCGTACATCTCCACTTCTGCTAACAAAGCAAAATCAAGACATCAAAACAACTTCTTCCAGTTAACAAAATTTCAGCGAGTGTAAAGAGCAAAGTTATGATATCTTTCAACACAAACACATTGTAAAGAAAGTGGACACACTGCAAGATGTGCTGCATCTTACCTGCACGTCAGGGATTGACCGCAGTGCATCACAGAACTGCTGCTACTGGTGACGGTCTGCTCTTCTTCCACGCAACCAGGCCAGTCCAACCCCGTACCTGTTAACAAAGATGTCCACAGGTCAAACCCTAAGAAACACTCCCAAAACAAGGAAGGGGTAACAAAATCCACAGAATAAACCGTGTACACCGATTGCGCATCGGCTTACCTTCAACGCCGGAGTTGGCCGCAGTACGTCCCTGAACTCTGCATACTTTCTCTGGCAGGCTGCAGTCCGCTAATCATCTGGGAAACCACAACAGCCAAACCCTGACCTGTTGACACCAAAGGTGAAGTCAAAAAAGTGTGCCAAGACTGAAAGAGTCAAAATGAAGAAAGTTCACAGAGCGCGAGGCGTGCACAAAGTATCTTACCGTCCCTGGGTTGGCAGACTCCTCTTCAAAGGACTGGGAACAGAGGGCTGCATCACATCGCATATCTACAGTAGAAAGACAAGACATCAAGAGATCACAGATTTAATCAAGTGAGATGAGGAAAAGATAAATCAACACCTTAAATTCAGGTTGGACACCCATCTTACCCTCTCTTCCATGTGCGGTCGCAGTCGATCGTTGCTCCCCAGAATGCTGCTGAACCTCTCGGTGGGATCGACGCTCCTGAAAACACAGAAAATCAGGAGGTCAAAAGAAAAGCAATAGCTGCTCTGATCAAGTTATAATGCAAAACAGGGATCCAGATGTGCTACAAAAGCAGCCCTTTACTCACCGCCTTGGCAAATGTAAGCCGCTAGACAAAGCTGGGCAATGGGCTCCTTCCTCTTCATCTGTGGCTGGCTGGCTGGAGGCTGGCTGGCTGGGTGCTCCCGCGTTGTACCACGTCCGAGTGCCTGAAAATATACAACTGAGACGAGATTAGTAAAAATTCAAAACAATGAAACAAAGCACACAAATTCAAGGAAATTACAACAAAATCAATGTTAAGGGGTAGGGGATGGTTAGTTGTGTTAGATTAGGAAAGTGCTAAGAAGATAGAGAAGAGACAGAAGGAAAGAAATAAATTCAAAAAGCTTCTCTGTTAGGCTGCCTGGTCGCGGCACTGGATCTCCTGGTGGGATGGGCTGGCTGGTGTGGGCTGCGCTGGATCTGGGCTGCGAAGGGCTGGGCTGGGCTCTGCTGCTTGCTGCGCATCCTGTCAATTGCAAGTCAAGAGGTCAAATGCTGATACGGTCAACATCATTTGGCAAGGTCAAGATCACAAAAGGCGGCCAGATATACACAGTGAATCTTACCTCCTCTTCCCTGCTTGACTGCTGTTGGGATCCTCCCGGGTCAGCATACATCTCCTCCTCTGCTAACAAAGCAAAATCAAGACATCAAAACAACTTCTTACAGTTAACAACATTTCAGCAAGTGTAAAGAGCAAAGTTATGATATCTTTCATCACAAACACATTGTAAAGATAGTGGACACACTGCAAGATGTGCTGCATCTTACCTGCACGTCAGGGATTGACCGCAGTGCATCACAGAACTGCTGCTACTGGTGACGGTCTGCTCTTCTTCCACGCAACCAGGCCAGTCCAACCCCGTACCTGTTAACAAAGATGTCCACAGGTCAAACCCTAAGAAACACTCCCAAAACAAGGAAGGGGTAACAAAATCCACAGAATAAACCGTGTACACCGATTGCGCATCGGCTTACCTTCAACGCCGGAGTTGGCCGCAGTACGTCCCTGAACTCTGCATACTTCCTCTGGCAGGCTGCAGTCCGATAATCATCTGGGAATCCACAACAGCCAAACCCTGACCTGTCGACACCAAAGGTGGAGAAGTCAAAAAAAGTGTGCCAAGACTGAAAGAGTCAAAATGAAGAAAGTTCACAGAGCGCGAGGCGTGCACAAAGTATCTTACCGTCCCTGGGTTGGCAGACTCCTCTTCAAAGGACTGGGAACAGAGGGCTGCATCACATCGCATATCTACAGTAGAAAGACAAGACATCAAGAGATCACAGATTTAATCAAGTGAGATGAGGAAAAGATCAATCAACACCGTAAATTCAGGGTGGACACGAATCTTACCCTCTCTTCCATGTGCGGTCGCAGTCGATCCTTGTTCCCCAGAATGCTGCTGAACCTCTCGGTGGGATCGACGCTCCTGAAAACACAAAAAATCAGGAGGTCAAAAGAAAAGCAATAGCTGCTCTGATCAAGTTATAATGCAAAACAGGGATCCAGATGTGCTACAAAAGCAGCCCTTTACTCACCGCCTTGGCAAATGTAAGCCGCTAGACAAAGCTGGGCAATGGGCTCCTTCCTCTTCATCTGTGGCTGGCTGGCTGGAGGCTGGCTGAGTGCTCCCGCGTTGTACCACGTCCGAGTGCCTGAAAATATACAACTGAGACGAGATTAGTAAAAATTCAAAACAATGAAACAAAGCACACAAATTCAAGGAAATTACAACAAAATCAATGTTAAGGGGTAGGGGATGGTTAGTTGTGTTAGATTAGGAAAGTGCTAAGAAGATAGAGAAGAGAGAGAAGGAAAGAAATAAATTCAAAATGCTTCTCTGTTAGGCTGCCTGGTCGCGGCACTGGATCTCCTGGTGGGATGGGCTGGCTGGTGTGGGCTGCGCTGGATCCGGGGCTGGGCTGCGAAGGGCTGGGCTGGGCTCTGCTGCTTGCTGCGCATCCTGTCA